TTGGTGTTCAGTCAATGTTGGGAATAATTTCAACAGGTGTTGATTGCAACACTAGTATAGTTAAATTTAGACGAATTTATTTCATTATGGAGATGTAGAATGAGTCAAAAATGATTCATTTGTCATGAACGACATAAGAATTCCATTTATTTTTAATTCGATCTGTTGAAACTTTTCCCGTGACTATATTATTCTGAATCGAAACTACCTATTGTTGTGGCTAAGGGTTCTTCTAGAAAGAAGGCCATAACAGAAGCTACAGATTTCTATCTTTTACCGATAAAAAGTTATTTAAAAGCGAGTGTGAAATGCTTGTCGATCGACTATTATTTCTAATACTGTTTTTAGAATCAACATCATATTACTTACAACGCGTGTTTGAAAATGACACAAGTTGTCATTTAACATTCTGCTTGCACATCTGTAATCAGGAACTTTCAATAAACTATCCTGCAAATAAATATGCCGGCAGTATTATATATCAAATTTACCTATATTAAAAGAATTAGTCTATGAAAGTCATTAAAAAAAAGACCAGAATTGTGAATATTGAATATATCAGAATCGGAGGTACTATAAAAGTTATAAGTTGCTCAATGAACTATTTTTATTGAAAACTTTATTAGTGCCATGTTTAAAGTTGAAAGTCAATTTTTCGTCGGCCTATAGCTTATTGCTGGAAAACCCAGTAAAACTTCAATATCTCGAAGATGCAGGCCTGGAAAAACAAACCATTGTATGCTTGTTGTATTACTCATTAAATGAACATCGTTTCTATTGAAAAGCGATTTGACATTTGAAGAAGCTTCTTCGTTAGCTGAGATATACCTACCGTTCAGACAAAAGAAAATCCAGTAAGATTCATTGTTTGAAGCACCTACATCGGAGCTTCATGTGCCTGCCTTTGAACATTCATCAATGGGAGTTGTGTGTGACAGTGTTTCATGCTTCATTATTATAGAATGCCTTGAATGTTTCGAAATTCAAGAGAATCAAGTGAAATCCAGTGCTCGGAGTTCCTGAATTGAAATGGTACATATCAATAGTGGTAACTTCTTCGATGGGGTTGTGTGTCACAGTATTTTAAGTCATTCTCATTGTAGAATGTTTTGAATTTGAGCTCGAGAGCTGTTGAATTTTCAACTTCTGGGTGATGGGTATTATTGCATCGAGCCTAAAACGCATTGATAATCCTGCTATTACATAATGCTTTGCTATTAAATCTTGATCAATGGATTTTAAATATTATGCAAAGTAATCTTTGCTTTACAAAAAGTTTAAAAACATTTTACGAACTATCCTACTCATAAAGTAAAGCAATTGATGCTCGGATCATCTTGCTCCGTTTTAAAATAATCAACTTTTCAACATATATTATCCAGTCAAAGGTTTAATAATAACAAGAAAGATGGTTTATCATTTTTTATGAGATAAAAAAGCTATCTTAGTACTGATTCGATATTATTTTCCTATCCATTGTTTTTGCTTATTTATTCATTTTCTAGAAATGCAATTCGAAGATTTACCTGGTGAATTATGGTTTCTTATTCTATCATATTTATCACCATTGGAAGCTTTTTATGCATTTAGTAGTATAAATAATGCACGTATACACTCAATACTTACTGATATGTATTTAGTACGACAAGGTAATGATAAATGTTCATCAATTTTAAATATCTCACTTGCACATTTACCATTATTTATGTATAATTTTGCTATAACAAATATTATTTCATACTATTCAAATGTAATTCATTCGTTAACATTATCTAACCAACAGACACCTGGTGAAATAAATAGTTTTCTTCAAAAGTATTCCTTTAAATATGATTTTAAATCTTTAAAATCTTTATGTTTAATTGAACCATCATCAAATGAATTAAATATAATAATTAATGATTTATCAAACATAAAAATGCTTGATATTCAATCAAAAGAAATATATTCATTTGATAAAGATACAATACAAAAAATTCTTTATTCAAAATCATCGATAGATTATTGTTGTTTAAGTCAATTTCATCAAAATTTTATTTCAAATGATTCCTATTCATTCATACAAACTTTAATTATTGATTCATGTGAATATTTATGTTTTATTAATATACTTAATCATTTTTGTTTATTGAAAAAACTTTCAATTAATATACTTTCAATGTCACATAATGCCATATTATCATCAAATAATTTAATAGAACATCCAGTATCAATTAAAAATTTAAAACTACGTGCATTTAGTATTCCATTTGATTATCTTCTTGTATTATTTTGTTTATTTGAAAATATTCAAAAATTTTCATTATCAATTATATGTGATGAAGGTTTGTAGAAATTTGAATTTAATATAGAAATAATTGATTCAAAGCGTTTTTTTATACGTTAGAAAAAAAAATACTTAATTTTTAAAGTACGCAATTTTTGTTTCGAATAGGTTTTGATTATGTAAATAGTGATAAATGGCAAATGATTATTAATAATTATTGGCCATTATTAAAAAAATTTCAATTGTATAGTGAATTATGGCATTTAACATCAGCAGATTTCGATGAACTTTATCCTCAATTATTATCATTTAAAACTAATTCTTTTTGGATTGAACGTCAGATAAGATTTATTACAGATTTTTATCAAGATAAAAATGATCTTCATCTAATTTTTTATTCAAATCCATATCCGGATCACAAATTTTCGAATCAGTAAGTAAACAGATTGAATGGATGGAAAAAGGCAGAAAGGAAAAATGTCGAAAGGGAAAAATATCGAAAATAAAAATGTCGAAAACAAGAATATGAGATGAAAATGAACATGTAAGATTGAATTGAGGGTGAGGGAGACTTGTACTTCAATATACTCTCGTTTTCAGCATTTCTATTCATCTACATTTGTATTATTTTTGTTTTCGATATTTTTATTTTCGACATTTTTCCCTTTCGATATTTTTCTTTTCTGCCTTTTTCCATCATACCAACAGATTTTCATATATTGCGTTCTTGATGTTTCTTAAGTGTCTCTTTTCTTTTCAAAAAATATTCTTTTAATCTCATTATTAAATTTTTTTTAAAGATGGGGCAATCCAATTGATATTGCTTTAACTTCAACAAATAATATATATTCATCATTGTTTAAAAATACATATGAAAATGTTAATCGTTTACTTTTAACGATTTATAATAATAAACAAATGCGATATGAATTAGATAAATGTTCACGTTATTTTTCTAATGTTGATACATTAACAATACGATTTGAACAACATGTATCAAGTGCTTTATTTCGAATATATGTTGAAAAAATAATTAATCTTAGTCATGTTAAACATTTAGCATTAAATGGTAAATGTCATAGTGTGATAACATTATATGAACTTGTCTTACGTAAGTTTATTGAAAATTACTAATTGGAAAAAGAACATTTTTTTACAGATTCGAAATAGACAATGTCATTTCTGACATGTTGACAGATCAAGAACGATTAGTGTACATATAACGGAGCTATGGAAGATTAAGAAATACTGAAAATTTCATGTAAACAAGGGGGACAATAAAGTGAAATGGGTCGTAGTATGATAGCTGTGTATATTCGAATTTATTAATATGTTTAGAAAAATAAGTCAGAGTTAGGACTAAAAACAGTTGATTTCAATCATTTATAACTTATGGACATATCAATAGGAATGGATGATTCCGATTTCAAGTTACAAGAGTGTTGGAATCAAAAACTTTTAAACAAAATTTTTAAAAAGCACTATTTTTTTTCTTAAAGAAAAAGATAAATTGCAATCAAAGAGTACATGTATATATTTTCTTCTTCAACAATATTACCTTTTGTCATCACTCAAGATTCTTGTGATTACTGATCAGTCATATTTCACTGCTGCACACTGATGGTGTCATATCAAGCTTAAGTTTGAGTTTGTCTTGTTTAGAGAGACCACTAGTATTGAAATGTTAATTGATCGATTGAACTATTATTTACTTTACATAATTAGTTGGCTCTCTTGTGTTTAGGATATAGTCCTTCGCATTGTGGTCAGCTATTTAAGATTTGAAAATAGAAATGAATTATTAACATAATTTAAATGAGAAATTATTGTAAATAATGATAAAGCTAGTGCTCTTGCAGTAGTAAATTACCGATATCACAAAGCGGCCATTTATTCTACATTCACCGAATTATTACATCATACACACACTATGAATCATTTAAAATTATCAAATATTAAGTGTTTCTTTTCGGTTATAACATTCTTTCTGAAATATAGATAGTGTATCTGTGCAGTACATAGAAGATGCTCCGATTATAAGAAAAAGAAAAGTTCTCTTGCATATCTTCTATTGATAGTTTTCAAACATTCGGTTTCTCACTAATCTAATGTCAAGTTATACTTTCAATTATAGCAAAACAACTCACTAGGAAAATTAATTCGAGTTCTAGAAGAAATTCTTCGCTTTCTTCAGGTCTTTCCAACATGACTAAACTAACCATAACCAGTAATCATCGTATATTAATAAAACAAATATTTCAAGCAAAAAATCAATGTTTATTATTATTATTAAGTCAACGACTTCAACACTTTAATATATTATATGATGGTGTTACATCATATGAAACAGTACAAGCCATACGTTATCATTTTCCTCATTTGAAAACATTTTCAGCTTGTTTACCACATTTCGAAGACTTTCGTGATGCAATTCCATCATTTATGCAACATATGAAATCACTTCAATATCTTCATATTGGTCTTGAATGTGATAATGACAAAAAAAATTTTACTACACAAGATATGTATGATTGGTTTCGACGACATAATATTTTACATGAATTTAAATTACATATTGATACGTATACAAATTCCATACATATTTGGTTATAATTAACGTTAAAATTTTGTTTATCTTATTGTTATGGTTGTCGTTATTGTTTTTTTTTTTTTGATAGTATATTTATTAAGTAAAATTTCGAACGCAATGAACAAAAAAAAAGAAACGTTTAGTTTAAAAAAAGTAGATTAATAAAAGAATTGGCATAAATAGATGTATTGAAGCAGATGAGGATAAGTTGAGTTCTTTTTCACAGAAATTAGATTTAAGTTCTTTTTTACAGAAATCAAGAGCAAGAGATATTCGTGTTTCGTTAGCAGTTAAATTCGCTCCAGAATTTTGAAAGGAGCAAAATCGTGACCATTTATTAACGACATTAAATGTACCATCACCAGGACTAAATGAAAGATTTGTTAAAATCAAAACAAAATATACTGCCAAAGAAATTTTTCCAACTTGTAAATTGCTTTCGAGTTCGGACTTCGTGCATTAGGTAAATTCTGATGAAATATTAAGAAATCAAAAAGAGTAAGGATCTCTCGACCTTCCTTAGAGACCGATAGCTGTTTGACTGAAGTTTCAGTCTGTACAATGGTATGTACCAAAGAATTGAACAATAGTATCTTGACCTGATATTTTGTCTATAGATAGGCCTACTTGTATCTTTGAGACGTTCTAGTTACAAGTAGGCCTATCTATGGGCGAAATCTTAGGTCAAAATATTGTCATTTGATTCTTTTGTACCTACCAGGCTATACACTACAACTTCAGTAAAACGACTATAATTCTAACGAAAGCTAACATGCACGTATCCTTGTAAGATTTTTTCGTATTCGGATCCATCTCACACAGAAAACCAGAACTCAAAAGAGACTTTCAAGTTGGTTAAGGCTTTCTTGTTGGAGAATGAAAAGCATTACCATTCTGTATAACTAGGTCGTTGTGATTGCCGATGAGTAATTATATGATAATCTTTTTTGACATGGCCTCGTGCAATACCACATCGAATCCATGAATATACTGCACTTAATGCCTTTTCATTTGGAGGTGCTGTTCTGAAATCACCAATTATACAAATACCTTAAAAATAAATAAATAAATAAATGTTTTAAATAGTAGATGTTAATATTTTTAACCATATGCATCGTTATTCCATTCGGGTGCATGAGCACCTTGACGATCCCATCCTCGACCTTCATAAACTTTACCATTTTCACCAACTAAAAAATGATAACCTATATCTACCCATCCTCGATCAAGTTGATGAAGATCTTGAATAGCTTTCACTCGTTGAATACATGATGTGTCATCATAACAACTATAAAGAATAAACTTAGTTAAATAATTTTACATAGAATTAATTTACTTTGGAGGTTGATAACTATGATGAATGACATAAAATGAAAGAGGTTTTCCTGTTAGATTTGTTATTGAAGTTGGTTCTCGTGCATTCCACTCAGCTCGATCAACGAACGATACTTCATCACAGGGTGATTGACCACTAACAGAGGTAATAAACAAAAGATAAACCAACAATATACTTTTCATGTTTCTTCAATGTAGGATTTAGATAATAAAACGTCAAATACCGAAAGTATTTGAAGCTTTTACTTTTGATCTGACTAACATTTGAATCAACAGTAATAAAATAACCTTTGGATTTTTTTTCTTGCATACATCTCAATTTAATCTTATATGACAAATAAACGCACAACGTATGCGCGTAAAAGAAAATACTTGAATCTAATCGCTTAATTTTAACATGAAAAGGCATATAAACTAACAACAAGTAAAAAAATTCGATCCAAATATTGTTTTCTACATACTTTTACAAGATGTCTATACATGCTTCAGTCGAATTCCATACTTGCTACAAGAATATGAATATCGACAAAGAATATTCTGATTTGTGTTTTGAATACTAAACTTGAGATATCAGGAAGATAAATAAAAATTTAGCATATCGTGTATTCTAATAGGTACACTTATGTTTGAATAACTCGAGTTGCATCACGGTTTCCTTAGTTGATGGAGCTCGAAAAACTTATTTACTGCTCCGCTATATGACAGCTCATTCTCAAAGGATACACAATTTTTTTTTGTTGGGAGTTGATAAAAATGGTGAATACGAATGTGTAAGAAAATTTTTCTAGTCATATACTTTTAATAAACAATCAGTTATTTACTGTCAGTCTTACTTAGTGAATAGCTTAAATCTCAAGCCTTATTTAATAAATATTCAGCTATTTATATATGCTAACTGGTTTGTTTTGATCATATGGGTATGTGTGGCACTAGTGACCATACGGTTACTAGGGTACGAATGATCATCTGGTAACTACGGCTATAATGGTACCAATGACTGCGTAGGATAACAAAAAAGGTATCTACGCATAAGGATTAAGATTAACCGAGTGGCATGTCTGCACGAAAAATATTAAATCTGTATGCACTTCGTATTTCATATTACACGATCGTATTTCTTCGGACCGTTTACAGAGAAATATGATCGTTGACAACGAACTACTGAGTATATTAGAAGTCTTATAACAACTTCGTACGTGATCATATGCTTTCGTATTCAATAAGGGGAAATATGATTGTAATTCTGGGCCATATAATCAAGAGGGAAACAGCTGATTTTGTGACTTCTTTGACTTTGACGATTTATTTGGTATTAATGATTTAAAATGGTTTTCTTGACTTCCAATATTTTGAAAACCATCAATGTTATTTGTTCCAAATGTCGCTTTAAATTTAGATATTTTAGAGATGTGTTAGCAGCGAAATTAGTCACAATTTAAATCTTTAATATAATCAAGTATTGAAAGTTACGATAAGAGAGCTTTTGAATAATAATCAATCGAGAAAATACCAATTATTTTAGCATAATTTTATTTATATAAGTAATAAAAAAGAAAAGAAGGCAACAATTTTCAAGTTCATTATGTATATGTTACGATCAAAATTGGAATCTGGTCAAATTTAGAATTTGACCAGACGAAATTGGAATTCTAATTTTGACTGGGCAAAATTAGAATATTTTTTTATGATGCATATAAATCAAAGTAACCAGAGTGAATCGAAGAACATATCGGCACAGATGATCCAGATAGTATGGATGAGAGTTCGAAGGCTATCCAGCTATTTTTTGTGGTAGCTGTGAGTGAGGATGACTGGAAAATAGGAAACCTTGAACAACTGCAATTTTACTAGCATCTTCATGATCGAGTTTATTCAGAAATGCCCCCACTGGTATCTGAGTCTTTTTCTGAGTCTCACTCACACCTTCGCTATCCTTTGTGCCAATATGTTCCTCCATTCACTTCAGTTTCTTTGATTTATATGTATCATAAAAAAATATTCTAGTTTTGCCCAGTCAAAATTAGAATTCCAATTTCGTCTGGTCAAATTCTAAATTTGACCAGATTCCAATTTTGACCGTAACATATATTTATTTTATCGAAAAACTGATCGTAATCGATCGTTTGATAAAGATAGTTTTCGTCTAAAAATATCAAATAGAATACTTATTTGTGTATACATTTTTCGTTTCTGCCAATTTATACTTCAAAATATCATCAAGAATTGGCAGCTTCACCGAATCAGAGATTCGAACATCAGCAAAAGAATCACGAGTAATATCGTCGATATTTTTAAATACTTAAGTGATGGCTGTTATTAACTTCGTCATCGTATCAATTAAGTTGTCATAATAATACGTATTGTCAGATCCAAAATCTGATGGTATGCCATTTAGAACAGACCTATCAGTTGTATTTGCTGTCAAAAGCATACGAGACATGTCGTTGGTATACCGATTTTCGGGAACGACTATATCATTGAGATAGTTGCAGAGCCTGTTGATTTGTTAGCCTGTTTAAGGTACTTCTGATGAACTAAAGTTGTTAATTTAATAACTAAGCCATTAATCTCATTTTCACTGAATGACAGAAAAGTTAATAATAGATAATAAATGTTCAGATGTAGCTCTGTCAGAGAGCAATATACTCTCATACATTTGAGAATTGCAAAGAAAAATTTGAAGAGCGACTATCAACAAATTTTCTTCGCATATCAGAAGAGTGAGATAAGTTAGTTGATGAGTGTTGATTCTCATTGACTGAAATGATATGTCTGTGATGAAATATTGTTTTATAGATTTTTTAGTGATTTTGAGACAGGGAGTCATTATTTGAGCGTTTAGCAAAAATTTCATAAAAATCATATTCTGTCTTTGTGAGTAACTAAACCTACCACATGCGGCACAAAAATAGAGGAAGTCATGCATGATACAGTCAGTCCGCTATGCTTAAGGCTTTATCAAAGATGTCATAATTACAGAAAGAATGGATTTCAAATACAGGCCCATAACATGTGAGTCAGGTATTTGTTTGAATGACACTTGTACATCGTTGTTAGGTATTTTTTTTCTATGCAGAAACTTGTATCGATCATGAAGATAATTATCAGAGTTTGCTAAGCCATGTTTGAGTTTATTATTGTTGACTATCATTTGTGATAAAATATTGAGTGAAATGTGTTGTTTACCAATCTCCATAGTAACAGTGGACGATAGTAAACGATTTCGCAAGTTTGTGCATACATATGAGCAGATTTTTGAAAGCAAACTACCAATTATCTTAAGTAATGACATGAAAAAGCCTAAGATAAGTTTCGTAAGCTCGAGGAAGAAAAGAAGTAGAAGACTTTCCTATGTCTCAGTACAGATTGTTTCATAAGTACACTCAAAAGCATCAATTTATTTATAGTGGGAAACTAGTCTTTTAATTCAGCAAGAGATTGTATTTAACAATATTTGAGAACAGGAAGTCCACCGAGTAAGGGATAATGAAAACATAACGAATATATTGGTAGGAACATTATCAGTTAGTTTACGAATTACAGTTGTGTAGTTTATCAAGCAAAAGACAATGCTTGTATCATTTAAACGAAAATCACCTTCTGTGATACTCTGTGTGTCCCTATCTATAGATGACTGAATACAAGAAACCGTTGGTATAGCATCAAAGCTGTTCATATGAATGAATTCATATGCATTATGAACTGTAATTATATACAAAGATGTAGCAAATCTTTGCAGTTGTACATTCCAGTCATATACATTTTTTGGACATGACCAATTTCGCATGATATTTCAGTTAGTACAATCAAAAAGGATAGACTAGTGTTAGTAAATGAAGATGCCTTGTGAAAAATAAAGCGTAGTTGTTTCAGTTGTAATAGTATAGTTCTTCTTTGTGTCGTTTTTCGATGAGATGATGCTCTTGGGTGCTGTTATGATCATTGTTGCTGTCGTTTTGAGCAATTTAATGCATGATGTCCCTGTTCTTTACAATAAAAACATAATAAAATTTAAAGTAATCATCTTTCGTTGTTAGCATGTATAATTTGGTATTGGAAGACGAACTATTTACAAACAACATAACTTATGTTAATTCACCCATATCAGCGACTTGAGCTATACTGTTTCGAAATAAATGAATATAATTCTATAGTGAAGGTTTTTAACATAATTGTAATAATAGCTGCTGAAGGTGTTCTTGTAAATCGTTTGATTAATATGGACATTTTAATTTGTCCTTAAGTTCACTCCGAGATGATAGCTGTTGATTTTTCAATTTGAAATTTATGAACCATTGTAAAGCAGCATTACCTAATAAACTCAGAGCAAGTGAGATTTTTTCATCGTCGTAAATCAATCGACTGATCATGACTTATTCTAATGCTCATAACCAAGCAATGGCATTTTCTGCGCTGGCTCCATGGTATATACTTTTGCTTTAACATTGGTCTGGTTAACTAGTCGTGATGATAAATCAATCAATGTATTAGCTGTTGTTGCTGATGACGATTACATTGGTGGTTGTGCTAGGATGAAAGGCTGTTAGACATGTAATTGTTTCCGTTATTCTTGTATATTCTCGACAATGATCATATTTATTTGAATAATTCGTTCCAATAGTCTTTCAAACTTAGCACTTTCAGTTGGTATGTGAGATGGGTATGTCTGTTGCTACCAAATGCTAACTTGAGCTAGTACTCCTTTTATCTCTTCGATAAAAAGGATTACAGAAGAACTAACTATTGCAATTGAAACAACCACGCTATCTTTTTTTTATAAGGCGCCTTCATTTACTAACACTAGGGCTATTATTCTTATTATCTTTTCTTAGGTAGAATGAAATAAGTGTATTAAATAGAAAACATTTGAGAAGAAACTCTTGAGGAATTGTTCAACCATTGTATCGGCATCGATTTATACAAGTTGTAAGTGTTTGACTCATTTAAATTTCACAAAGCGAGCATCAATGAATGGACATCCATGCGAATGTCACATACAATTTGAAATCTGCCATTTTGAAGTTGAAGACAAACTTCTTTTTTAAAGTTCAGTTAAGTCGGCAGAATCGTATTTCATTAAGTCAAATATACAACATTAATAGATAATAAAGCTTGTACAAATCTTATCCTTTGAAACACGAACATTTCTCTGACAATCATGCCACTATTTTCACGCACAAAATCATAAAAGATATCGTCATAATATGAGAGAATATCGTCTGATAGAGCAATATACGTGTGTTAACGCGTAAGTCTATGAGATTTGATATTAGTTTGAAGAAAAAAGAACGATTACAGAACGTGTAACCCTGTAAGAAGATACAGAGAATTCTTATTCCCACTTACAAGCTAAGTGAAAATTAGCAAGTGTAAGGAATAATATTTAAGCCAATGCTCAAAATACCCAGCTAGGCATGATCCAGCTCAAAATCACTTTTGCTCTGGACCGGCCAAGCTGCTAGCCCCAAACTTTATTTCTTTTTTTTCGAAAGAAATATAACTTTGCTAGTGCCATTCAAAGATAGGTCAGGCATGAAGAATTCTTAACTTGGGCCGGACAATTAAAAAGTAGTTCGATTTCGGGACTCAGATAGAACAGCTGTATGCTGCGCAGAAGATGCAACATTCAATCATTAGCCTTTAACGTTGTTATTGTTGCTTTTCTTTCGTTTTATATTTAATAGATGAAATTGCGAACGTGTGAATTTTAAAAAAAGTTTTGTTTACAGAAAATAAACTAACAAAAGCTGAAATAAAATAATTGGCATAAACAGACTTGTTGCAGCAGATGAGAGTAAGTTAAATTTCTTCTCACAGAAATCAAGAGCCAGAGATACTTGTGTTTGATTTGAAGTTAAATTTGCTCCGTAATTTTGAAATGAACAAAATCGTGGCCATTTGTTAACCACATTAAATGTACCATTACCAGGACTAAGGAAAAAACTAGTTAAAATGGAAAATATACTTAGACAAAAAAATTTACCATTCTGTATAACCTGGTCGTTGGGATTGTAAATGAGTAATAATATAGTAATTTTCTTTGACATTGCCTCGTATAATACCACATCTAATCCATAAACGTACAGCATTTAATGCCTTGTCATTTGGAGGTGCTACTGTAAAATTGCCAATGATACAAATACCTTTAAAATAAAAATTACATGATTGAAACAATAATAAGCGATGTAAGAGTCTTTAGAAACCCGTTCAACGTTATTTTGGACTGACAGACACATGTTTGTATGAACATTTTTCATATCAGCTGATAGCTTGCAGAGCTCTTATTCTAATAATGTGTTATAAACTTTTACTGTTCATTCATAACCAAAATGACGTGTGATGGATGAGAATCATTGGCACAACGTATTTGCAACTTCTACTATAATTCTTTTAAGCATTCCATAAAAACTACGGTAATGCTATTTTAAAAAGTAAAACATTCTACACAGTACGAAGTAAATGTATTAAAAAAATATTTAAAATGTGCAACCACAAAAGATCAGTCTCGAAGTGCTCATACCGTCAATTCATTCATTAAAGCTTTGAATTATACTGTGAAATGCGTGGACAATCGGTTTGATTTAAGTCAACATAAAATAGTACGACGACGTTGAGTACACCAGTCAACAGTTTCACGCAAACTTCGATAATGAACATCAGATATTATAAGAAAACGTCGAAAAACTACAAAAATAGATAGTGAATAACAAAACATTCGAGTACGAAACAATTGTGGAAAAGTATATTGAACATTGTTACATGTATGTAATTGAATTATGGACTATGAAAAATACTTCAAAGCGACAAAAACCAACTTCATCAGAAATCGCTATTTTTATTCAACCGATATAGCTACAACTTTTCCGCACATCAAGTTTCAACAGAAAGCAAAATTTGAACCGAATGTAATAATTTAGATGGCTATGTTATCGAAGAAGGTTTCTAATGTCTATGTTCACAAGGGCAAGTAAGTTATCGATCAAGAAATATATTTAAAAAGATGTATTATTAAAAGTATGTCGTCCTCTATTAATAAATATCATTGAGATGGAACTCATCTGTTTTGGCTCAATTTAGCAAGGACTCATTATTTAACTATCATTGAAGAACGTTTGAATGAGAAAAACATACCATTTATTTCTCGTACTGACAATCCACCAAACTTGCCCTAAGCTCGTCTAATTAAAACTTTATGGACTGTACTTAAACAACAAACATATATGAAAAAAATTCGGAAGCAAAAAATGTTGATTATTCGGCTCAGAGAATCAAACAAACAGCACAAGAAATTGATCAGGAAATGTTACAAGCCATGATGAAGGGCATTTAGAAGAAGCTTCAAGCTATATGATGAGATGGATCGTATTCAGTTCTCGAAGTACAGTTCTTTTTGCAGTAGTTGGCATGATCTTCCTCATCCAAAAAAATAGTTTTTTATCTTCTAGAATAGTTGAACTATACAGCTCAATATCTTTTCAATGAATTTTGCATTACCTATTAGATAAAAACTATTTACCATATGAGTTGTCATTCCATCCAATTGAATGAGCAGCTTGACGATCCCATCCTCGACCTTCATAAACTTTTCCATTTTCACCAACTAAAAAATGATAACCTATATCTACCCATCCTTGATCAAGTTGATGATAGTCTTGAACAGATTTTACTCGTTGAATACAGGATATATCATCATAGCAACTATAAAGAATGAACTTAATTAAATTATTTTACATAGAAGAGATCTACTTTGGAGGTGAATAAGTGTGATGAATAACATAAAATGAGAGAGGTTTTTCTGTTAGATTTGTTATTGAGGTTGGTTCTCGTGCACCCCATCCAGCTCGATCAACGAACGATACTTCATCACAGGGTGATTGACCATTAACAGAAGTGATAAACAACAGATAAGTAAATAAACTTTTCATATTTCTTCAATGTAGAATTTAGATAGTCAAATATTAAATATTGAATATACTTGAAGTTTATTGTTTATTTTTCCCTTATCAACTTTTGAATCGATAGAAATAAAAACATTCTTTACAGTTTTTCTTTATGTTTTTCATAATTTCATACTACGTTATAATTAAACATTAAGTGTATACGTATAAAAGAAATAGTTAGATCCAATCAATTATGTTTGACACAACACAACATATAAATTAGTAGTTGACAGACCTGAAAGAAGAAGTAATCAAATTGCTAAAAATCTTCCAGTGTATATGACGAAAGAATAATTTGTTTTTAAGAGCAGACAGTAATTGAAAGTGTAGTCAAAAGTTTTTCATTCTTTTTAGTAAATTGATATTATTCATATAAAGTACATACGCAAAATAGTAAATTGAAATATGCAATTGAATACATAATCATTATAGATATCGTCTAAAGAAAATGACTCAAATTGCGTCGAAGACATAAAAAATCATGACTAAGCATTTTATATCTTGCACTTTTTGCAAAAATAATAATAATTATGTCACGTTTCAGCTAGTAAAGTTGATTGAAGTATCGTTTTGTATATGTTTTGCTAGAATTCGACAAACTCTAGCAGTCTATGCATATCGAAGAAGAGTATTCTGACCCGTTTTTTTGACTACTAAAGTTGAGATAAATTAGAAAGACAAATAAAAATTTACCATGTTTTGTATTCAACTAGAGTATACTTAAGTTTGAATAACTCAACTTTATCAACTGATTTCTTCAGTAATGAAGCTTGGAAAGATTATTCGCCACTTTACTATATAGCGACCAAATTCTTAAAAGATATATAACTATTACGTATCGAGAAAGTTGATAAACATACAGAACAGAGATATGTATGGAAACTTTTATAGTGATATACTTAATCTTCATAAATAGTCAGCTAATTGTTTATTGGCAATCTATCTTAGTCAATAGGTATTTAACTACAAACACTATCGAATAAATATTCAATAAATATTCATAACTATTCAATGAATATTGATAGTTATTTAATAAACACTCAGCTATTTATTTATTGTCGATTTTTTTGACTGAATAGTTATTTAGTTCCATGTGTTATGTAAAGATTCTTAGTATAAATATTCGTAGCTATTGAAATATCATTCAGATGCATATATATTGTAATTATTCTGTTTTTTTTTAGCCAGAAATGAAAGATTGCATATATGTGGATAAAGAAGACAAGAGAATATGAGGATATTATTCTTTTAGTTAAATTAAGAACTGCTGAAAGAAAATATTGATCGTTTAAATTAAGTCGAAAAAAGATAAGTTTAGGAATGGTTCTAAAACGATACCTTAGTTAGAATAGAGATTGCAGACGTAAGAGGGAAGGATGCACACACACGCTCTAACCTTTACTTTGTAGACAAGTGTCTTCAATGAATTTTCATCGATAATATTGTAAATCCATTGAATATAAATTTTAAAGAATGGAAATTGTTTAATAGCTTTTCCAATTTTTTTTTATAACAGGTTTTTACCGATTATTGAGCACGTAATCAGTGTATTATACATCAGAAGTTCTATTTAAATCATCTTTTTTTGTTATCATTTATGTATTAAAAAATCAATCCAATTAAATTCAATCACGGCCAGCATCATCTTTTCTTTTTCTTTTTTATGAAAATAAAACTGTTATCATGTCACCGTCTATTGAATTTCGGCATGCATAATCAAACATTCGATAATAAAAAAAAAAGATACAAATGACTTTCGACTTATAGTGATATTAATTCATAATTTAAATGACGAATCAATACTGTTTAGCCTTCATAAAAAAAACTGAACACGTTCTGTTCTCTGATTTACATTATGTCCACTAATCATATTGTGTAACCAATATGTCCTAACCACGCTTTCTATATCACAACTGTCAAAAATATATCATAATTAATTTTTTTCTTCTTTGCTTCGTTAGTTGATTTCTTATGATGTTTCGCATCATTAAACAGAATATGACCATACTTTTCCACCAATTGAGATTTAACTATAAAATATCCATAAATGGTCTGTGTCTACAATACAAGGCTATGCAAAAAATATTCAGAATCATAGTTCAAAACTTTTATCGACAAAAACTACAAAACAGCATATCATTCTCGTTTTCTTTTTCGTCTTCAATTAATCTGTTTCCAATTATTTATTCAATACTCTTTTATGCTTCAATTCGATATTGTTCTCATTCAGCAATTGTAATCATTTGATTGATACATACTCCTGCGAGTTTCATCGTGAACTTCCATTCGCTATTCATGTATTATTATCTCAAAAACAACACCAAAATAAATTTCTAGCTACGTATAACCAATTTCTATGATTATGAAACAAAAAGATCTAATAATATCACATTTAAAAATGCAAATAAAACGTTTAGATTCATCAAAAATACTTACAAGAATGATTACTAAAATCTAATGAAACCAAAGCTCAAATGATTATCATATCTGATGATGATCATTATTATCATTCACATATGAGAACTCCATGAAATGAAAATTCAACTAAATATATCTGAAAAATATTTTTGAATAAAAGAATTGCCAATGTAAGAATTGATTGCATAAGAATTTTGTAGAATACAATCAGAAGATTTTTTTATTTCTGCTTTTGCCATCTTCATTAAAAACAGAATTTTCAATTGAACAATACGACAAGATCTTATCTAGGATGTATGCGTCGTTCGTTTCTAGTTGTTCATTACATCATTCAATCATATCATTTAGTATAAGTTTGTCCTGTTAGCTCAAATATTTTTTTGATTCTTATATTTATGTCGATTTCTATCAAGTATCTAATGATATTTGTCATGTAGTTGCCATTTTGATGTTACTCAAACTTAGACATTCAAAGAATTTTTATAAAGAAATAAAATGAATTGATTATTGACTAATAATTGTACATCATAATAGTTGTATTCATATTTTAAAAAGGATTTATGGTATAAGTTTAATAGAAAAAGTCGACCGAAATATCAAAATTATTGCAGTTAAAGAGATTAGTGCCATTGAATAGCTGAAATTTTATATTACTATTTGTTTTTTATTTTATATATTTAGTACAAATAAAATAAAATATGAAATTAAAATTTTTGAAAATGATGATCTTTTTTCTTCAATACAAAAATTAAAGAAAGATATTTTCTTCTGAAAGAGTAACTGATTTAATTTTCAACACCAAATTGATCATCTAGTTCTGTATATATTGATATGTAAGAATTTTTAACTAAGACAATACCACGAAAATATTATTTATGTCATAACAACAACGAAATAATCATAATATGACCGACCGTTCGTAGAATATAAAATTGTGTTGACCCCTTAGACATTCTGTTCTAATCGTGTGCAACAAACCATTCATTTTTTTTTTGTCGTTCTCTTTACCGTCATTTTTTTTCCTTTAACATGTACACATAGTCAATCATTATAACTATTCTTTTTTTGTCATCGTATTACTTTATTCTAGGTGTCACGTTTTTACTCAAGTAACAAAAAGCTGAAAATAAATTTATTAGCTAATACATTTGTTTTTAAAGTGAAACAAGTTAATTTAATTTATGAAACTCAATATGATCGAACGTTTAGTACATTCATTTGATCGTCGTTCACCACTTAAACGGTCTCGACGACGTTTATTCTACCGTTCGTTTATTAGTATTATATTCATTTTTATTAGTTCACCTTTTCTTATTGTACTCTTGCATTCTATTTCAATCTTTCGATTAAGCCATTCTGAGTCTCATTCATCAAATATCATCATATCATTAACAAGTAATCCTGCCAGATTTCATTATGAACTTCCATTAGCTATTCATTCATTATTATCTCAAACAAAGCTACCAAAACAAATTCGTATTTATTTATCTCCTACATTGGAAATAGTTACACAAACAAATTTAACATTAACACATTTGAAAATGTATCTACAACGTCTCGACTCATCAGAAACTGTTACCAAATTATTTGATAGATTAGTACAAATTCTATTAGAATATGAAGATTATGGTCCAGCGACAAAATTTCTTCCGATTATTAAAGAATTTCATTCTAAATCACAAGCAATTATGGTTTGTGATGATGATTTTTACTATCATCCATTTACGGTCGCTACATTATATGAATATTCAGAAAAATTTCCAAATAGTATTATTGGCTTCAGAGGTTGGCGAGGTAAAAAAGATTTTTCTTTCAAATAGAGAGGTTCAATACACATGATTATCTTGTCATTTGCTTCAACGTTTTAGTTCGTAAAGATCTAACTTGGGGTGTAGGTGGTAAATATGAAATGGCTTATCATATAATCGAATCACATTATCTTTCTGACGTTTATCGTGTTGGTGTCGTCACTGCTAATGCTGCTTATCTAATTCGTCCATTATTCTTTGATGTTCATATGCATCTCTATTTCGATCAAATTCCTAATGATATTCGTCGTGTTGATGATATTTGGTTAAATGGTCAAGCATCAAAAAGACATGTAGCTCGTTATGTTGTTCCATCATGTTGTCCACATATTAGTGTTACTCGTACTCATGTGCTTGAAGAATATTTAGGAAAAAATAATATGAGTCGATTATCAGCTAATAGTCATGCATTACAATGGTTTAGTGGACATTGGGAAAAAAACTTATGGTATAAATTTAATGGAGAAAATGCACCAAAATATAGAAATTGGTGGATGATGATTTATCGGGAATGGATTAGTATGATTTTAAATGTTAAGTTTATTATTTATTTTGGTTTTATATAAAGAAAAAAAAAGCATCAGGACAACATCCTGATTATTTAAACTGAACAATCTCCTTAATTAAAATAAGGAGATAAATAGTTTTAAAATCGTATTGAATTTGAAGTAAAATGAATTGGAAATTGTGATGATATCGGATCAAATGAAGATGTTATATAAGCATGAAGATTTGGTCTTAAATTTGGTATACAAATAG